ATTCTCCACAGCCACTGGTGAAGGTACCTCACGGAGGGGTGAATGGCGCCACAGATGCGTCCTCCTATTGCCATGACGATAATGAAGCTCTTTGTTCAGCTGTGTGAATGTGAAGTGTGCGATCTCCGATGATCTCACCATTTCCTATTTATTCTATACTTACCTGAATACGCCAAGTATTGCCGCTTTTTAATGCATATGCAAACCACTAAAATGTCCTTTTGTGAGACACTTTGCTAAAAGACCGCTTTTGATATGTGTTCTTCGTCCCCTCTTCAAAATGAATTAGACTGCTTCCTTCTTTTTAAGACACAAGCAACTCACTATTTAGAATCTTTGGCTTTGATTTGGTGGAACAGCCCAACAGGAAGAGACCATGTTCTCTTTTTTTCTCCATATTTCTGAAGGCAAACTTGTACTGATTTGTTTTGATTTACTAACAGAATGATGTTCCTGCCACAGACACAGGCTTCCTTTATGTCCTTTCAGTCATCGGTCTATTTCTGGGGACAAAGTTTTCCCAAGGAAGACTGAAGTCCCTCTGTTGGTGGCTGTGTGCAGAGCCATGGATGTGTGGCTCGGCTGGAGTTCATCAGGTTTGGGAGGAGAGAAGTTCTCCTCCACAGGCAGGACATTTCTCGAATACCTACTGCTAAGCTCAAACCGAGAGGCCAGGTGACATTTTTTAAGGATATCCAATAGCACAGAGCATTCAGTCCTTTGTGGGGGAAGTGTGTTTGGCATAACGGGTCACATGTCCTAAAATGGTAGTTCCCTGAAGGTTTCTTCTGATTGAGCTCTATTGGTCACTCCCTTCACCATTGGGGGTGGGTGGGGTTTTAATGCCAATAGCCAAAAATCGTCAGATGAACAGGACTGGAACACTTCAGCCAGGAGGATTTACGTCTCTTTGTTACATAGTCTCCTCACAAAGGTGGGGTCACTCCTGTCCTCTAAAGAGCACAGCCTGTAACTCAAAAGCACCTTTAGCTTGTTTGTGGGGTGGTGCTGATGACAGCTTCTTGGTTCTCCTCAGACCAGGAGCAGCCAAGAATAATTGGTTATGCCCTAGACTTCAGAGTAAAAGAAACAAGTTCTCGTGTGCTAGCAGAGGCGCTCAGCATGGCCCCTGGGACCATTTGAGATTGTATGTGAACCTGGGAAACACGTATCCATCCATCCTGTACCTTCACGATTATCCTGTATAACCTCAGTAAAGGCCATCGAAATGTTGTGAGAGCCGTAAAGAAAACTAATTCCTATGGTACAACCTCAATGATGTAATTATAGAGATGTTGTGATGTGACCAGCGAATCCAGTGAGGGGCACACGAGCTGTTCTACCAAGTTGGGGACACCAAAAAGCAAACTTTGAGATAAATCAAAGAGAAGATGCCACATTATGTGTTGAAAGTACTCAGACGTATCATGGTATGAAGCTAAAAATACGACCCACATATAAAATTTCTTTCTCTCTCTGCTTCCGCTCTTTTTAGTTTGAGCACATTGTTATGAACTTGGTCTGCAGCTCTTTGGTTTGATGACTATGTATCTCTTTTCAAGGGACAATTAGCTATTTTTTAAGGACTTCCATATCAAGTAAGTTACAACGTGCTTTTTTCGGATTTTCCCCACAAAGGGGATTTTAGGAAATTACCTGACACAGACATTCTCTCATTTTGCTCCATTATCTAAAGCTAAAACTCACAAATAAAAACAACAGCCACTGGATTAAAGTGAATTGAAAAAGTTTTAGTGTTTTTTTCAAGTTGTCTAATTTATTACAAACTAAAAATCTCTTTCAAACTGGCACCAAGGTGGCTTTTCTTCTTGAGCTGATTAGGACCACATGAGCTCAGGAAAAGCTGTCAGATCCTGCCTCTGGCGCAGCTGGAATGATCCAACTGATTTGCCGGTATGATTTTTTTTTTTTTTTTTTTAAAGAACGAAGCTTCATCCCAAAGTCATAAATTTATATTCTGGAGCCCCAAGCAAAAATGAGTCCTTGTTCATGTTAAAAGAAGCAAAATTCCATTGTGACTTCTTCTTATGGGACCTCCTGGAAAACAAAAACAACGAGGGCAATATTTTGGTCCCTATTTCCTGCTGTAGTGGGAGCTGACTCGGCACCTTCTCTCTCCCTGTCTGGCTTCCCACTGACATGTGGAGGTCACGTTCAGAAAACAGTAGTCCTCAGAAAAGAGCGGAGATCTGTGTCTAGGCCAGAACGTGCCTTCACCTCTTAGGAGCTGTTTGTCACGCTGGCCCAGGGCAAATGAATGGAACTGGTGAAATTTGCTTTCTCCAGCAGACCGCGCTGGGCTCCCAGACATGCTCTGTGGCATTCTCCACAGCAAGTCAAGGCACCCAAGTAGCTGCCTGACACCCCAAGAAGCCCGAGGGGGTACCCTTCCTCAGCGGTCCTTCCACAACCACTTCCTCACACAGAGACCTACCAAGCCTGCCTATCCTAGTTAGACTCCTCTCTTTGCTAAAGAGAGCCTAGCCTCTCTTTGCTAGCGAGGCCATCACCTTGGCCTGGGTGATGAGGAAGGCGCATTATTGGGCCCTAATAAATCTGTATTTATTCTTGGGAAACAGAGTCATACCGCCTTAGCTCCAAGAGACGACACCACATCAGTCTTGCAGCTCCTTTCATGGCACATACATGGAGCTCACCAAGGAGCCAGATGCTTTACTCGCTATGCATTTCAGAATTGAGATTTTGTTTCTTTCTTGTTTTTAAGCAAGAGAAAGTATTATAAGGAATGGGGGGGTGGATTTTTATGTTGATTCTGCCAATTCTAATTTAACTTTAGAATTCCTTTCTCACTTCTCCCCTTTCTATGCACTGTAACCTGGGGGTAATTTTTTTTTTTTAATTTTGCCTATATACAGTCAGAGTCCAGTCCGGAATCCCCAGCCGGGCTGGGCCAATCTGGCTAACCTGCCATCTCAGTGTTTTCTTCACGTGAGGGTCCAAGTGAGGCCTCTTCGTCTCTTTGCCCTCCTTAAAAACACTAGATATTTGCAATTATCCCTCAGCCCAGAGACAACGGCAGACAGAACCTTCCACCAGCCACCACTGGGGGCGCTCTACGTTTCCCTGGGTGAAAACAGTGGGCAGAATTTCCTCCGCCGTCCTCCCTCTATTAACAGTTAAGCAGGTTGAGAGGATTTGAATAAAAGCACATCTTGTTGCATGCAACAACGATTTGACAGAAGAGCTGTATGGCAGACTGAGTACTTTGCCGCTCTCAGCTTCACCACGCAGTTTTGTAGCCTGGGAAGCCATGCATGCAGAATGGCAGAACTTACAATCGCCTACAAAAGGAGAATACAATGCTACCTGTGGAGCCTCGCTGCGGAGAGAAGATGACAGTTCCGGGCCTTAAAAATACCCCAAACTACTGAACAGTCTCAGAAAAGAGCTGGCCACTACGGGAAGCCCTCGTCAAAGCAATCTTTCTCAAGCAACTGCGAAGGCATAATTATTAAATTTTACAACCACGTGTTGAGCGCGTCGTGGGGCGAAGGGAGAAGGGGAGACAAGCGCTGGAGCTTCTAGGTTTCCGGACCTAAGATGCGGAGGGGGATCTGGGATCACTTTTGGAGCCACGAAGAGCGGCTCAGATGTGACGGGATGAGCTTCCACAGCCTTAAAACACGGCTCTTTTCCAAAGTGACTTCCCCTTACCCATCCAACACCACCCCCCCAAAAAAAATCAAAATGTACTTCATGAAACTATTGTATATGAAGCACTTATTAGCCGTAATTAAATGGACAATATGAATTTACTACGTCTTTAGGACTCTGGCTTGTTCTGGTTTAGAGCAAGATGATTAATGCAAATACATATTACTTGAGATAACCATTTAGCAGCTAATTTAGCCAAATTTATTACAGCAGTTAGAGGTTTTTCATTTTAGCAGACGGAGACAAGGACATGCCAAAAAGTGGGCAACGTGGACGAGTGCACACTGCCCTCTAGTGGCCAAGCGCCTGGAGCGCTTTCCGGGGGTGTGGAGTCGCCGCGATTCCTAGCCAAGTCATAACAGCGGGTTTTGCACGTTTCCGGCATCCTTTTAAACCATTCCTTTCCATAGCACTTTATTTCAGGGAATGATTTACTGCACTTTCCCCTTTTACTAGCTCAGGAGTACCCAGATACAAATCAAATCAATTTCAACTTGGCAAGATTTTGGTTAAAGTATCATTTTTAACATCTGCATTTTAAAGCTCTCCTTCAGTGGGTATTTAATGGCGCCGTTTCACATTACTGATTGTTTTTACTTGTTCCTTCATTTGGGGCCATATTTCAGAGGCTGTGTGGAGCTGTCACTCCATTTGGCTCTAGCCAAGTCAATTCTGTGCCTCCCTTAGGCCAGGGTTTCTGACTTGGTTGGGGGATTTATTTTGCTCCAACAGTCAGTGAAGTCTCACCAGCATCTCCCCTGACTGACCAATGTAAATTTCGTTCATAGGCGGACTAGAAATTCTGCTCGGCAAGATCAAAAGGAGCAGATGTATGGGGACACTGGTTGGTATTGCTTGCACTGAGATGAAATGATCAAAGACAGGGGGTAAAGCGTCTTCGGAACCATTCAAATATCCCGGATCTCAAAGAGATCTACCTCGCAGCTATGAATAAATCACATACAGATTTTCCTTTGTTAGCGTCTGACGTCAAACCCATTGACAATATCCACACCACATTAGGTATTCTGGGAGCCAACAAGATTCGTAGTCCTTTTATTCTTCCTTTCACACCATGATTGCCCAGAACGGAACCAAGTCTTGCTCCAAATGCTAGTAACCCTCGCTCCACTGAATTGTTGATTTATTTGTCCTGCTAATGGCATTCTACATTAAGCTTACAGAAGGGCATCCCTGGCTTAGCGAGGGACCTCCCCCTTCTAAGCTCACCGTTTTGCAGAGATGATAATCATTTGGTCCCCGTCTTAATACGCAATGCCTTGTGTTTTTGTTTTTGCCCCCAGTGCTGAATAAGGGCCAGTGTGTGACGAAGTACTACCGCTGGATGCAGAAGAATGGAGGATATATTTGGATACAGTCTAGTGCCACCATAGCTATTAATGCCAAGAACGCAAATGAGAAGAATATCATCTGGGTGAATTATCTTCTTAGGTATATTTTCTAATTCTTTCTCATTTCTGTGTCAGTTATAAAATATACAGCCCGTGGTTAATAGCTGACATGTTTTATTATCTTTTGGCAGTATCTGGTGTGGAATTATGTGGAAATTCTGCTTTTCCTTCCACAAGACTCAAAGGAATAGGAAAAGATCAGAGTTATGGTGGAGGGGACCTTTGGGGCACATTCACAACATTTTCAGTAATTCTTGGTCTGTCAACATTTGGGCAGCTCTGAGAAGCTGCTTTGGTTTCCCCCACAAATGTTCAGGCTAGGGAAAAGAAAAAAAAAAAAAAAACAGACAGACTTTTGCCTACAGATGATGCATTCAAGAAGCACCTGCTTCTCCCCACCCCATAAACTTGCACGCATGCACTCCAATCCTTGAGAAAATTAAGCAAAAGGGCATGGGGACATGGGTTCAGTTTATCCCGCCTGTATCCCAGGCAGGAAACCTTAAGCATATTACACCACATTAGATTTCCTTGGCTTTCAGGTTTTGGTAAGCCGAAGAAACTGCTTTGCCAAAATCAGGGCAATATCAGTGAATAAATGAAAGCCATCTCCTTGTGCCCAATGACATGTTGCCTCAGTCTAGTTTTACTGCTATCCTAATGCGCCCTCAGATTGACACCCATAAATGCGGCCAGGCTCAGCAGCAATCTAAATTCTAGTCTGCAGCCCCATTTCTCTCTTCTTCCCCATCTGCTTCCCACCTTTGGAGTCAAACAAGCAAAAAGGAAACCAAGACCAACAGCCCAGGTGGTCTGCTTCTGTGGGCAAAATTTCCAGGAGGTTTTCCACCTATCCTGTCCTGAAACTATCGGGAGGCTCACGGCTTGGCTGTCTCCCACTGCTGTCATTCCAGTTTGGGGCTTCTCTTGGCCAAAATCCACCACGCTGGACCCCCGCGTGGTCTGAATAGGAAAGCTTCCAGTAGGTCTTCTGAATGGAAGTTGATGCCCTTTGGCTGATAATCTAGACAGGGAGTACCCGAACCCCATTTTTCTTGGAGACAGCCAAATGAGGGCTGAGATGCTGACAACCGTGGCTCATCGGCACACTGACTCTTCAGAGTGTGTTCGTGTGCATTGGTGATGACTCGAAGGCATGAATGTGCTTGCTACCAATAACATATCAATCAGACACTAATGATTATTGCTCTAGAGAGGGCCTTAATGTGCACCACTTAAAACAGTCTTCATTTATCTACTTTCTTTTTCCTTTTTTGACCTCTTCTACTCTACATTAATTCTGTCTAAAAGTCCAAGTATATGTATTTTGTGTGCCTTTCTCAGAGGCCTGACTTTCATGCGAACTTTCCCCTGTGTTTGTGATATTCTCAAGATGGGTTCTGACATCAAGGAATCCTTTTGCCAAGATGTTTATGGAACGGTGGTGATATGGAATGCAGGATATAAGAACTCACATGCCAGAGAGAAAATGGAATAAGGTGTTGTGGCATTAACACTCTTTGGCTGGTCAAAAATGGTGTTGTGCCAAAGAGACCCATTACTATTGGAAAGCAGGCATTAGTAACAGAGACACCACAGACTAGAAGACACCTGTGCCCCGCGCTGAGGTCTCATAGGGTACTGAAGTCATCCATGTGCTTGCCCCTCCCATTCAGGAAGATTTCTTTTGGTCTGGATCTTTCTTACTGCCTCATTGGTCTCATGACTTCCTACTCTGCCCCCAAATGGAGGCAATGAGATGGGTTAAGGAGAGGTTAGTCCATGAAATTTGGGGTCAACCCCCTTATCTAGCCTGGGATCAAAGATACACACTCCTAAGTGTCTGGTGATTGTCGTCCACCTAATTCCATAGGGAGAGGAGGGAAGACCAGTTTTCAGGCTCAAGAACCTCGATCTCAAACATGGTAGACCTATCTCAGCTAACCCAAAGACTCACCCTGAGTTCAATAATAAAAGGCTACAAGTTGGGTAACCAATGACTTGTGAAGGAGACCAATACAGATGGGCATTAGCCAAGGAAACTCCACCATGTCTTCTGTTCATTAGCATCACGTCTATAAGCTAAAAATCCAGAAGAAAAGGACATGACCTTGGCAAAAAAACGACTACTAAATATTAGCAAAAGAGCAACTTACTTAAGTTTTTTTTTTTCTCTCCCACATTCCTTTCCTTTGTTCTTCCCTGAGTGATATTTTCATACCACCTCATCCTCCTCAGAATCCCTCACTTCTGGGTCCATTCAGGCCTCTCCTTCCCTGTTCCAAAATGACCGCTCCTCTACTGCTCTTCTTCCTGTTCCCTCATGTGTTGCTAGAATCAGGGACTCCAGAGTGTTCAGAGACTGCCTAAGTGCTAAGGCCGCTGTCCCCCCATTAGTCTCAGCTGATTGTTGAAAGCTCTGCCACTGAAGCTAATTCACACTATGGCGTAAATGCCTGACTATCCATCTTAGTGAGTTAACCCGTCCAGCAACACCGGCCATTGTAGAGTAGCTACTGAAACCATAGCTCTTTGACATCGGCATTTCACTAGAGATTAGCAAACGGATCTATGATTGTCTCTTGTAAGGGACGTTGGCCAGCCACCAGGTAGGGTAGAAGAGGCCTTTTCCACTTCAAGGCAAGAGGCTCTCCTTGTGTCTTGAGATGACAGGAGCCCATGTTGCTCATACACTGAGCTGGCCTTCAAGGGGCATTTCTAGAAGATAACCAACTCAAACTGACCGAACGCAACTCTCTTTGCCAGAAGAGGCCTCTTTCTGAATTAAAAATAGAACAAAAATTAAGCCCATTTGTGCAAACGGGCTTAGATCCATTCTGTTAGGGCCTCTTTCACACTGGGACTCACCCCACTGCAATCAGAGTCCCAGCTTAACAAGCCACAGGTGTACACCACATGAGCGGCTGAAAATGTGATTGTAATGGGTGTGTTGACAGTTCAGTAGCCATAATCCATGCATCCCGAGGTGCACCTGTGTATCTGTCAGATCGTTAGGCGCCGAGGGCTCAGCACATGACCTCCCCCACCCCCGGTTGCTTTAGAGCCCTCAGAACAGCTGAGAAGCTCCATCAAGGAACCAAGATGAGGGCACGGAGGCAATGGACTCCTTAGGAGCCCAAGAGATGACAGGGCACACCAGGAGGCATGGGAAGACTGAGCTGAGGGTACTTCTCACCCTCCCTCTGCCCCCAGGTGTTCAACTGGGACAAATGTCAAGCAGTACAGTGCTCCAGCCCCCAGTGCTCCCTGATTATTTAAAAGCCTTTTAGTGGCTTTCCTATGGCACGTGGGTGTTCAGCCGTTGTAGCGGGGTGCAGCTGTAGCCACAGTCCAAGAAATCCCAGCTCCCACACAAGTCCCACGGGGAGCTGGGAAACGCTTTCTCTCAGTGGCTTTTAAACTCTCTCAACTCCAAACATTTGGGGCCAGGGAGTGGGGAGAAGATGGTCCACAGCAGACCACCGAGAATGGGTGTCTGCCCACCTGATGAGTGCCTCCCTCCCCCCCCCCACAGTAATCCTGAATACAAGGACACACCCATGGATATTGCACAGCTCCCCCACCTGCCTGAGAAAACGTCGGAATCTTCGGAGACGTCCGACTCTGAATCAGACTCTAAAGATACCTCAGGTATTACAGGTATTCCTCCTTCTCCATGTTCTGCGCTCACGGCTTGCCTGTCCAAACGCGAGGGGTGGGCGGTGGCCCGAGGGCGGCCCTTGGAGCAGAGCGACGGTTCCATGGGTACAGAGACATAGGTCACATTGAGCTGATACGGAGTCTCTCTCAGCACACGTGTGTGTGTTTACGTACTGCCTATATACATCTGTGCACACATATAGATGTATATATATATATACACATACGTGGTGTCTATACGTGCATGTGTGTCATGTATATATATACATATGCATGTGTACATGCTTTCTATACACAAATAGAGACTGACTGATTTAGCAATTGCTCCATGTCGGCCCTCCACTGGCCACACGGAAGGAGTCCCGCCCTGACCCCCTAGCTAGATTTGGGCTCTTTAAACAGTAACATCTAAGACAGTCTGCATCTTTCAGCCCCAAATATTCACATCCTTGCCAAGCTGGGGTTGAGCCTCCAAAGCGGGATACTTAATGGCATTGGTGAATGAATCTTTGGAAAGTAGACTTACTAGTAGTTCTCTGGGGCAAAAGAAAGTTAATTTAAAAATTTATTTTTCCTCCAATCCCCAACTCCCATTCCACAGACACACTTAGAGCCGGGGAGGAGCACAGAACTCACAGAATCTTAGAGCTGCAGAGACTCCTAAACCTCTTCTAATCCAATCTCTTCTATGGAAATGAAGTAGTTCCACGATTTGCCCGAGGTTCTAGTCTAGGCTGCCAACCAAAAGCACCACAGCAGAGCCATAAACTCAGCATCTTCCTTAAGTCTCCTAAGCTGCGTTATTGGGAAAATCTATTCTCCCTCTAATGTACCAGATGGCTAGGGGTCACCCACCACCATTCTCCATCCCTAGGGCACCTGCTCTCCAGGCTTGTATGCCCATATCCCTCTACCCTGGACATAACTTCAGGGAAGCAGGAGGAGATGCAAAGCACAGAGGATCTTGACTGTTTTCTTATCCTAAACCAAATTCATTTCAAAGTTCTTTAGTAGGGCAGAAGTTCTAGAATAGATAGGCTCTGCTCCTTATTTATGTGTGGTGCGGGAGCAGGGAACAAAAAAAGACGACAGTTCCACGACCTGCCCCCACAGAGCCTATATTCTAGTTGCGGGAATAGATCAAAGTCAATAAAAATAAGCACTGTCTGAATCCCTGCATGGCTAAGCACTATAGAGAAAAATAACTTCAGGAATTAGGAGTGTGGTTTTCAATAATGAACAAATATTCACTCACGGAGGGTTGCAGACCTCCGTAGAAAGTCACCTTGCATACCATCATTTTTCTGTGTCACTAATGTCTTATTCCAGGTTATTGACTCTGACGCCCTGAATATTTTTGTAGGACTTCTCCAATGTTAATATGCCAAACGATCACCTGGGAATCTTGTTCAAATACAGAATCTGATTTAGCAGGCCTGGGTGAAAAGCTGGGATTGTGCATTTGTAACAAGCGTCCAGGTGATGCCAGTGCTGCTGGCCTACAGACCACACTTGGAGTAAAGGCCCAGCTAATAGAGGCCCCCCGAGAGAGAGAGAGAGAAAGCCCAGGCTTTAGGTGACTAAGGTCGGGGAGCAGCTCAGGTGGGGCAACACACCTCCCTAGCCCTTCCCCCATCCCACGCCCCGCAGGGGGACATGGGTCCTGCCCTGCTAATTTGATGTCTTTGGTCTCTTCTCTCCCCAATGCCACCTCCGGCCACTGGCCCCACACAGAGGACAACGAGAATTCCAAGTCCGACGAGAAGGGTAACCAGTCTGAGAACAGCGAAGACCCGGAACCCGACAGGAAGAAGTCCGGCAACGCGTGCGACAACGACATGAACTGCAACGACGACGGCCACAGCTCCAGCAACCCGGACAGCCGCGACAGCGACGACAGCTTCGAGCACTCGGACTTTGAGAACCCGAAGGCGGGCGAGGACAGCTTCGGCACGCTGGGCCCCATGCAGATCAAGGTGGAGCGCTACGTGGAGAGCGAGTCGGACCTGCGGCTGCAGAACTGCGAGTCCCTCACGTCCGACAGCGCCAAGGACTCGGACAGCGCGGGCGAGGCGGGCGCGCAGGCCTCCAGCAAGCACCAGAAGCGCAAGAAGAGGCGGAAACGGCAGAAGGGCGGCAGCGCCAGCCGCCGGCGCCTGTCCAGCGCGTCGAGCCCCGGCGGCCTGGACGCGGGCCTCGTGGAGCCCCCGCGGCTGCTGTCGTCCCCCAACAGTGCCTCGGTGCTCAAGATCAAGACGGAGATCTCGGAACCCATCAACTTTGACAACGATAGCAGCATCTGGAACTACCCGCCCAACCGGGAGATCTCCAGGAATGAGTCCCCCTACAGCATGACCAAGCCCCCCAGCTCCGAGCACTTCCCGTCCCCGCAGGGCAGCGGGGGCGGCGGGGGGCTGCACGTGGCCATCCCCGACTCGGTCCTCACCCCGCCGGGCGCCGACGGCGCTGCCGCCCGCAAGACTCAGTTCGGCGCCTCGGCCACCTCGGCCTTGGCCCCCGTCGCCTCCGACCCGCTGTCGCCCCCTCTCTCGGCGTCCCCTCGGGACAAGCACCCCGGGGGCAGCGGGGGCAGTGGCGGCGGCGGGGGTGGGGGCGGGGCTGGCGGCGGGGGCGGGGGCAGCGGGGGCGGCGCCAGCGCTTCCAACTCCTTGCTGTACACTGGGGACCTGGAGGCGCTACAGAGGTTGCAGGCGGGCAACGTCGTGCTCCCGCTGGTGCACAGGGTGACGGGGACCCTGGCCGCCACCAGCACGGCCGCGCAGAGGGTCTACACCACCGGCACCATCCGCTACGCGCCCGCAGAGGTGACCCTGGCCATGCAGGGCAACCTGCTGCCCAACGCGCACGCTGTTAACTTCGTGGACGTTAACAGCCCCGGCTTCGGCCTCGATCCCAAGACACCCATGGAGATGCTCTACCACCACGTGCACCGGCTCAACATGTCGGGACCGTTCGGGGGCGCCGTGAGCGCCGCCAGCCTGACGCAGATGCCCGCCGGCAACGTGTTCACCACGGCCGAGGGACTCTTCTCCACGCTGCCCTTCCCCGTCTACAGCAACGGCATCCACGCGGCACAGACTCTGGAGCGCAAGGAGGACTGAGGCGCCGCCCAGCGCGGGCCAGGGCTCCGCCCGGAGGCATCGTCGGCGTTTTCGTTTAGACCTTTTAATTCTAGCACTTTGAATTCGAGCAGGTCAGCGTCCTCTCTCACCACGACGGCCCCCGTCCCACCCCCTCTTTCTTTAACTTGACTTATTCTTTCCTGTAAAGATATGTTTATTTTTTGCCTTCAGAGAGTCAGATGACCAGTTGCCTGCCATTTTGTCTTCTTCTGAGATGTGTGTTGGGTTGTTTTGCTTTCCTTTGCATCTTTATTAAGATGTCTTTAATGTGCATATGCCTCTGCCATAGAATACTCAGTCTTGTGGTCAAGAGATTTCTCAAGTGACAACCATGGGGTTTCTTCAGCAAGATCTTGATATGATCAAGATTGAAAGAGACAAGCATAAACAATGTGCCCTGTTTGACTAAGTCAAATGAAATGGGGTGGTTTTTCTTTTGTTTTGTTTTGGTTCCTAATTCCTTTAAAAAAAAATAGGGGGATAGTATTTTAGAATTTTATGCAGAATTTAATTCTCTTTTTATGGTTAAGATTTTAAGATTTTCTTACTTGCACATAAAAATAATTTGGGTTCTTAAACTTAATTTCTGGCCTGTGACTAGAATGTTTAAAAAAAAAAAAAGTTGGACTAAATGTTAATTACTGAAACATTAACTTAATTTCTAAAACCATGGTGCTATCATTTATTAATCTGTAATGTCTTCATACAAAATGCAGCTCCTGGGCTGGGTTTTGGAAAAAAAAAATGTGTTCTGTCCTGGTCTGGAGTCCGCTGCTGCAGTCTCCTTGGTTAGTTAAGACAAAGCCCTCATTAACGTTTGCTGCAGGACTTAAAATTTTTTACCTCCCAACTAACAAACGTAGCCTCACATTAAATTTAATGGGTCAGTAAAGCCCTTTTTAAAGGGGCTTTTGGAAAACTCAATCAAACTGATTTGAGGAGCAGTTTAGATACATACTGCCTTTTTTTGAGCTGTTTTTTTTTTCCTTTTCTCAGTCTAACTGAGGCTAATTTTTACAACTTCAGTAACACTTCAGAGTAAAAGAAGGAAAAGATATTTAACATGTTTTTGATTTTTTTTTTTTTTTCATTTCTTGCTACGAAAAAAGGAAGGTTGTATTCTGGGGGACTGATTTGATTTGATGGCATTTTTTTTCCCCTTTGGTTCTCTTCTTTCTAGGTGGAAACCAGTACGGTTTAAAACTAAAGAATGGGTTAATAAGCTTCAAACAGATAACTGCAACTGAAAACCGCACATTAAGTAAAAAAGAGAAAAAAAAAAAGAAAAAAAAGAAAAAAAGAAAAAAAAAGAAAAGAAAAAAAATCTCCTATTTTGTCTTTGTTGCCAGAAATCAGTGTAGTGTCAAACACTCCAAATGACTGTCAAGTATAAATTCTTCTTCCACTCCATCTTTGGCAGCTGTTTTTAAGGCATCTAATAACAGATGTGAGAACTGTAATGTGTGCAATGTGTACGTGTCCTTGGCTGTCAGTCCCATTGCAGTTTCAATGTGTGTTGCTATATGCAGTATATACTAAGCTAATGTAGTTGTTTTGTCCTTTGTCTTCTCTGTGCTCTATCTCTAGTCCGGAGTGGTCCAGTCCCATTCCTGCAGTCCTAGTGAATCAGTGATTCTTGGGGGTTAGTGAGTTTTGTGTGGTGGCCTTCCTCTGTAATGTCACCCTAAGCTGCTTCTACTGTCTGTGAATCTTCCGTTCCACTTTTTAAAATTCCTGCTGTTGCTTTGCTGGTGTATATTCTCCCAACCTTTCCTTTCTTTCCCTGCCTCTCCTTTTCCCTTCTTCTTCCCCATCTCTCCTCCCCTCCCCCACCCTGCCCCTTCTCCAAAATCTTCTTCATTCTCAGAGATAAAAAGACTCTTAACTAGCTCAAGGTTAATGGAGCCATTTTTTTCCCACAGTGGAGTTCTGGGTATGACTTTTTCTTCTGGAGTGCGCCTCGAAGCACTGAAGAATATTGCTCAGATATATTAAATAAATTGATGCCATATAGCCTCAGTTGTTAACATTCCCAGAGTCCCTTGTGCTCTACCTATATAAGCAGTGGGTGCTTTTCTTTGGTTTCCTTCCAGGTTGGCTGATGGAGCAATACATACAAAGCAATTAACCAGTGAGACAGAAAATTATTTAAAAGGTCAACCAACACTTTTTAAAAACAAAAGGGGAGGGGATAATGGAATATAAATTGTCCTATATATTTGTTTATGTGTGCAATGCTAATACTGTAATTCGGCTGTCCTTTGAATATCACTGTGTTGAGTGGTTTCCTCTAGGACCTTTGATTCCGAGAGTTGGGCCCACATCACTGTGGAATAATAAGTAAACAAAGCGGAACGCCACAAATTTTACCAGTGAGCTTACTTGAAGGATTTAAGGAGGTTTCGAAGGTGAAGAAGGCCAGTCAGGATATTTAAAGATTAGTTTTGGAAGCTCTACTCTAGCTATCGAACAATCAAAGGAATGCACCTATCAGCTACAAAGAACAGCTAGACAGCTGTTTTTTTTTTTTCTTTTATAAATGTTTCTGTGTTGTGTCAAAATGATTTCTGGTGATTTAAACTAACAGATAATCACAGCTGCTGTCTAAATCCATAGTGTTTAAAATTACAAAATGGAAAAAAAAAACACTTCATTACCTGTGAAGACTGTGTCTGTGTTTTTAACTATTTCTTGTACAAATATATGAAAACTTTTATGAGGAGACTGGTGCCAAGTAGCTGAATAATGGGGAAAGGGATATTCTGTTCGTAAAAAATCTTAGCAGTGTTACCAACTCTACAATATATATAAAAAAAAAAATTAAAACATTACAAAGCGACAGCTATGGTACATTTGTTTTGTGTGAAGCTAACCGGACCTAACTTCCTGAGTGCCTGGCTTATTTTGAAACATTTTTTTTTCATTGACCATTGATAATGCTGCAAATCAGAAATGTACATACTTCATTTACAACAGGGTTCTTTTTATACTTTTGTAGATTCTCATACATGTCACACACATGGTTGTCTTTATGTAACTTAATTTTTTCATCCGCAGGTGCCATTTTCATAATAAACTTCTCTTGAATTTGTTACTATCTTGCATCATTTCTTTTACATGTAACCATCCTAACTAATGAATGCTGGTAGTATTTGTTTAAGCAGGTACCTTGGTCATTACTCTTGATTTAAAAAAAAAAAAAAGTTACCAAAAAAAAAAGATGCATCTGTATTTTTGCTAGTTTTGGAAAAAAAAAATGCATAGTTTGTGTCGCAATGAGGCCGACAAGGCACAGATTAAGATGCTAATCCAAATACTACACCAAACTTGCAACCATCCTAAATTTTCAGCTACCCCAACTCATTGTCATACTAAGCATTATTATGCACATTATCAAAGTTGAACAATGGGCCTGCACGTTAACCACTATGGGAAGTGTGCATTTTTTCTTGATTAATGCACGGTACGTGATGACAGTTTTCACCCATTAATCATTGAAAATGCACTCGATATTTTCATTTATTATAATCTATAATGTATAACCAACCGTTCCATTGCTTATATCTTCTCTTTATACTAAATATGTATTTTCTTTCTCCAGACAGAGTAAGTCCTGGTCGGGCTGTGTTATTAGTTAGGTCAACGCACAGCCTACAGCCTGTCACGTTTGAAGGCAGGTCAGCTGGCTAATTAAAAAAAAAGAAAGAAAGAAAGAAAAAGAAAAAGAAAACTTCAGCTTGCTATCCCTCAGAGAAGGATACAGATGGGTCTCCTGTTAATTCTGTGCTCTCTAGACAAGGAAGAGAGGGGAATGGGTTGAGCCGAAGCAAAAGGCAAACGCTTTTGTCGGAGAACCACCAACTGTTGTAAAGGTCATTCCCTAGTTTAAGCCTTCCGTGGCCTTTGCCAGTTTGAGGGTGCTTTTTACTAATGGAGGCTTGCGTCAGATCAGCAGACCTGGAAACGTGGTTAAAAGTTGTGGGGCCCTCAATTTCTCTACGGTACCCTCTACACGTCCTTGAAATATAAACACTTGAAAATTTGAAATACGGAGAAGGTAAGGAGAATGCTGAATTGGGTTCTCCCAACACTCTTCAAGGTTTCTTTCTCGTTTGCTCTGAGAGTCAGAAGAATAGAGTAAGTCAAAACACTGTTGAACCTGGAAGCTTAACCCTGAAGGGAGTGAGTGCTAAAGGCAGCCTCCCCAAGGTATTCGGTCTGGTAGGCGCTGCTGACATTGGCCCTTAGTGATAGCTTCCAGAACTTTCCATAGGGGAGGATCTGCAGAGGCAGAGGGGCACTTATAGCAGTGTGGTACTAGGGCTGAACCTCTGTTGCCTGGTGGCAATGTCTGTTGGCCATAACACTTTATTCTTGGACACCGCTACAGCCCTGTGATCTGGAGGTAGCGGCAATGAGAGTTGAAAAGAAGAAGCTGGCCGGGGATGGATGCAGAGAAATCCTGAAGCATCTGTAGTAGAAGTAGTGGAAATCCTGGATTCTTACCCAAGCTCAAGCCTCCCTTAGTATTAGCAAGTTCCCTGGCCTTTATCTGTACCCATCAATGCTAAAATATGTCACTAATGAAATGAAAAACCTCTCTGGGCCCAAAAGAGAGCAAGCGAGCTCTGGGCTCAGTACCACTGACAGTCAGGAAGCCCTACCCCCTCCCCAGCCATGGGGCTGGCAGCCAAGCCAGGGCCCAGAGTTCCCAGAGGCACAGGACCTCTCCCGCGCCAGGCCGGCAGCCAGGCAATGTGTCGAGACTCCGGCGTGCAGGTCATGGACAGAACAGGGATCTGCAGCCAGCTCTCTGCACCCGGCCTCTTCTCCTTCCCAGCCCATACTGAGAGTTGTTTCTCTGTCCATAAAGAACAAGGAGGGAAAAAAAAGTCTCAGAAAGGGTGGCAGGTGGGACAAGAGGGAAGCTATGCATCAGCTGAGCATAAAGAAACTGATTTTAGTCCTTGCAGATTGAC